GCCAGCCAATTGTAGAAAAATGGAAGCGTAGAATGCAGCATTGTATTTGTTCATGATGCAGACAGATAAAAGGTCAGATCTCAGAGAAAATAAAACTCAACAGTAACAAGTGCTGTGGGCTTTTTTGTTGTTGTTTTGTTGTTGTTGTTTTTCCCTATGAATCAGCTATTTCACTGATAACAGTATTTTGGGCCACTTACGTGTTTTCGGGAGGTCTTTACAACACCTTTTCGAGTTTTTTTTTTTTTTTTTTTTAAACTTCAAAGTCACAGAGACAATTTCTATTACCAAGTCTTCTGCGAGTATCACTGTTCTACAGCTAAACATCATATTTCCCTCTCAACGTGGACTACTCAGTTCTTTGTCCTGACAAAAGAATTTTGCATTGCTTTGTATGACTATTCTTGCAGAGAATAAAGACTTTATTTTCATTTTTTCATGCTCTTCTTGCAGGTCTTGTAAACAGATTTTTAATATTAAAAGTTTCATAGGATATTTGGGGGGATATAATGACACCTGGGAACAGAAACCAGCACATCTGCCACCAGGACTGCTAGGGTCAACAAACAAGTACTTAAAAAAAACCCACAAGTGCATTGATGGCAGTTCGCCATAGCAGTCTAGCTGTCTCAGTGGAGACCTCCGTGACAATCCAAGGCTGAAAACACCCCCAACACATTTTTAAAGAGATATACAATAAAACTACTCAGTAAGACACAGACACAGTAACATACAAGTAAGATACAAGCACTACAATTTCTCACTTCAGAAATAAAGGGCCAAAGGATCGAACACTTGAAAGTCCTACTGCAAATATTAAAGTAGAGCACACAGAGAAAAAAACACACAAGGAAAATGATAGAAGACGACCTTGCAAATAAATTTAGCTTGCAAATTTGTTCAGTACATATACAGAGAAAAACATTCAAAGAAAATGGTGCTTGAAGAAGCCAGTATAAGTAAGGATTTAAAAAGTTAACGCAGAAGAGTTTTGTTTTACTGTCACATTTTCTTTTCAACTGTTAACCAAACACATGCAATATCTCCAAAGTCACTTATCTGCTGGATCTTGCACACAGGCCTATTTTACCAATAATTTCAGGGTAAGGAGAAAGGGCAGCAAGACAACCTTCTCTATGTCTTTATTACTGAAAGTATTATTTAATGCTTTGAAGTCGAATTATGATTTCACAGGTTCACACTCTTTCAAAGTAGAGCTTCTTAAAAGAACTTACGAGCTCGCGAGAACAAAAGCACTATTTCAACCAATATACTAGCCAGAAGCATTGTATCCGATTACTCAGCTCAGCCAGCTATGAGAATCGATATCTTGCTCTTCTTTACTTCACAAACCTCTTACAGCAATGCCGATCTAGGAAGAACCGAGCGCCCCGCAGACGCCGGACAGTGGTCGGCTGCTCTCCAAGGTGCTGAACTGGCGGCGCGGACCTGCGGCTTCGCTGCTCCGGCAGACCTACCCTGCCCACGGCCTGCCTGCATCACTGCAAGCTTCCCTCGTTGGGAGCTTTCACAGGGAAATCCCTTCTTTCTGTTATCCTACACGTCTTTCTCAGACTCTTCAAGCCTTCAGAAGGATCTTAGATCTGCAATTGCAGCCACGTGCTGCTGGAGCAGAGGCAAGTCCCCAGGGAGATCCACCTTAAAACCAGGCTTTCAGTAGTTAGTTTTATCATAAGGAAACCAGCAAAAGAGGGGAAAGAAACTGCAATAGCCAAATTGCAAAGAGGAGAAAAACATTTAAACATCACCTTCAAGAGAGTATCCAACTTCTAAACCAGTAATACAAGTATATAGAGTATTTCATCAAGGACCCCGTGAGGTTTATCCATAAATGTTTATGCAAAGAAGTTGCATGGCGTCTTTCTGTCACAAACAGACATTTGCCATTTCCCAATTTCCCTGCTGGCAAAACAAGGAAGTGAGGCAACACTGGTAAGCAGATGATCACAGAGTAGGCTTATAATTAGACAGATACTGTCTCATCTTAAGAACACAAAGGCAAGCTCTACCTACATGATGTGTCTGCTCTCACAGAGAAAACAATTAACCGATTCTATAATGACAGCAAAAGCCTACTATTAACATCTGTCTAGCAGTTATTTATCTGTACCCACCATCTGCAGGAACTTTTCCATAATTAAATGCATCTGCTTCCCAAATATGTAAATTCAGCAGGTGAAATACTTTGTCTTGTATTTCTGACATAGGAGTAGCAGTTAGAAGACCAAGAGGTTCTGACAGTTACAAATTCTGCAAGAAAAACTAAGTACAGCTGCAGAGAGTTGCCCTGTTCCCTGCTTCCAAGCATCTATTCCCATACCAAGCTCTCTCTTTGGCTGGCCCAGCTGTCTGCATAGTGAGGCAGAATGGACAACTCTCAACTGAAAATAACCTCAAGGAAAAAAAAAAAAAAAAAAAAAGGAAAAGGAAATAGTTTAGCTCACCAGTCTAATTCATAACATAAACCTCTGTTGGCACCAGATGAAAGGACATCTTCTTCCAACAGTACTAACTCAGTATGTTCCAAGCACGTCCTCAGATTCCTACTCTGTTCTCCAATTTGTGTTCCATTTATTCACACTGTAGCCTTCACTGCATAACTTCCACCGTAACTTCCAAATATGCTCACTTAGAAACCTTCCATCACACTTTCCTCCAATACTCGATAGAAGAGCAGCAGGCTGAACAATGCAAGCATTGGTACGGTATCAGTCGTGGCAGCATATTTACAAGTTGGTGGTGCGTGACTCTGTAGTGATAGGGAAAAAACCACACCTTTTCAATTTCAAACCTTATTTGCACTTCCAGAAAGCTTCAATAAAAAACACATCAATAAATTCAGGCAACATAGCTTCTGGTGTGAATTTACTACTTTTAAACCTGTGAATGACCTTACAGTGACCATTTTCATACTTGATTTTCACTGTTTCCCTTTCCTACCTGTACTGTCCTTCCACATGGATAAGCATGCCATCTTAAAAAGTGAACTGTTAACTTTCACGACTTCCTGATACAGCCCTCTATAAGATCATCCTTTATCTTCAAATCACTTGTAAATATCGCACAGCACCACTAGAGGCTGCTACAGGACATCAGTAACTTTCCTCCCTCTACGGGACAAGGCAGACCACAAGCACATCAACTTGTAGCAAGCTCGTACTGCGCATGCTTTAAAAGGAAAGGAAAAGTAATAAGATTTCTTCACGGGTTCCTAACTCCGAAGTACCAACAGTGAATATTTTTTTCCTATTTTACTGTGGTTTAAATCAAATTCCAAAGCTTTTTCAATATACTGCATTTCATTTTAGGCAACAATACATTCATGTTCCATTACTCTTCTCCCTATGATATAAACATTATAAAAATCGTATTTTATCAGAATAAAAAAAGGTTTATTAAAGAACAGAATGTAAAATTGATTACATTTTAAATTGTATGTAAACTAAGTAGAAGAGTATATTTTTATAGCATACTAATACAAAGACAATAGATTGCAATTATGATAGATAAGCAATATTTAATATCTAATAAACTCCAGTATATTAAGATTGTGGAGTCCTCAGTACAGAAAGATATGGACATATTGGAATCCAACCAGAGGGCCACAGAAATGATACAAGGGATGGAACACTTCCCCTATGAGGACAGGCAGAGAGCAAGGGCTGTCCAGCCTGGAGAAGAGATGGCTCCAGAGAGACTGCTGTTTAAATATATTAATAGGGGCTGTAAGCAAGGTGGAAACAAACTCTTTTTATTAGGGTCTGTTGTGACAGGACAAAGGGAAATGGTTTCAAACTAAAAGAGGGGAGATTTAGACTGGATATAATGGAAAAGTTTTTGTGTTTTTTTTTTTTTTGTGTGTGTCTTTTTTTGTTTGTTTGTTTGTTTGTTTACAGTGAGGGTAGCGAAGAACTGGAACAGGTTGCCCAGAGGTGTGGTAGATGCCTCATCCCTGATGAAATTCAAGGTCAAGGCTCTGAGCAACCTGATCTAGTCACGGATGTCACATTTAATCAGCCTGACATAGTGGAGTCTTGAGTTAGGAGAAATGTGGTGCTTTCAAAGAAACAACAGAAACCAATACTGACTCGAATCTGTACTGTTTACAAGTTGAACTCACTTCAGTAGGGAAACATATAATGAAGGGAGCATGTAATAAGAGAATCCTGCCAGGAAACACCACAGGTAACACTATGGTTTTATCAATGGAAACAACATGCTTCCAGACATACAACTTCTTGCTACTCTAATTCTCTGTCTTCACAGATACAAGGCAGGCAAAGACACCTCAGAAAAGCAAACTTCCAGTTGTTAAGACCATTAGCGCAGGGGAGCCCTCGGCTCCATGAGGGGTACAAATGAAAGCTGGAATCTATTCAAAGACTCTTTTCTTAAGGCACAAGAACTCTCAATCCTGACCTGCAAGGCATCAGGCAAGGCAGGCAGCAGAGCTAAATCAGGGCACTGAGACAAGATAAAACAAAACTGAAAGGGACAGCAGATAGGAGTACACATACTGGGAAAGCTAAAGTGCTATGGATGGGACTGCAGGGAGGAGACCAGGAAGGCACAGCTAGAGCCAAATTTGGCTTAAGACATAAAAACAAAGTTAAAACGACATGTGCGTCTTCAAGCTCAAAGGACAACAAAGATGAAAAAAAAAAAAAGAAGAAAAGAAAAAAAAAAAAAGCCGCACTTCCCACACCGAGCGATAAAGGACGACCGTCCTCCCTCCCGTGCGGGCCCGGACCGACCCTGCCACACACCCACAGCCCTCAGGCAGCCCCACGTCCGCACAACACCGGGCTGGGTCCGCCCCAGTCCACCGGACAGCTAAAAACCCTGAGGCTGACGTGCGGGCGACCCCAAGCCGCAAGAAGCTCCCCCTGAGCCGCCACATGCGGCCCCACGCGTAGTCCCGGACCTCCCCCCACCACACGCAACCAGGCAGCGCCCACTGCGCAGGCGCCAATACTCACTGCCTCCCGCCGCCAGCTCCGCCGGTATCTACTTCCGCTTCCTCTACTATGCTCGTGTTCCCGCCCTCTGCACCCACCCCCTCTCCCAGCCGCAGCCCGCCTCCCGGAGCGGGCCGAGGGGCGAGGCCTGCGCGTCGGGGCGCCGCTCGCGATTGGTCGGAGAGCTCTCGCGAGAGGCGGGATCCGGAAGCGGCAGCGGGGCGGGTGCGGGAGTCCGAGGAAGCGGTGGTTGTCGGGGGGAAGTCGCCGGCGGCAGCGCCCGTAGCATCTGGGGGAGCTGGCGGCGGCCCCGGCTCCGGTCCCGCCAGAAGAGGCTGCTGCTCTGCGCGGCTTTCACCGCGGCGGCGCCTCGATAGCGCCGCGTCGGGGCGCAAGATGGCGGCGGCGGGCGGGGGCAGCAGCGTGAACCCTTTTCTCAGCGACTCGGAGGAGGACGAGCCTGAAGAAGCCAGGCCCGGCGGCGGCAGCAGCAGCAGTACCGAGCCGGGAGGGCCGGCGTACCCGGCCCGGCGGCGGGAGGAGGCGGCGGCCGCAGGCAGCCCCGAAGAGCTGCCGGGTTTGCGGGCGGCGGGCGATGCGGCGGGGGCGGGCGGCGGGGCCGCCGCTGGGGATCCGCCGCGGGTGTCGATGGACGCGATGGCGGCTCAGCTCCTGCGGGATCAGTTCCTGCTGACGGCGCTGGAGCTGCACACGGAGCTGCTGGAGAGCGGCCGGGAGCTGCCCAGGCTGCGGGATTTCTTCTCTAACCCGGGCAACTTCGAGAGGCAGAGCGGCACGCCGCCCGCCGGAGGGGCTCTGGGCGGCGGCGTGCTCGGCGGAGCCGGCGGCAGGGAGCCCGGCTCCGGGCAGCTCAGTAAGTGCCTCCTTCTGGCCGGGGCTGGGAGCGGGGCTGTGCTGGGCAGGGCACGGACGTGATTGGGCTTCTCGTGAAGGTCACTCGTGTGCCTGGTGTGAAGAAGTGTTAAAAACGAGCGTTTTTGTGCCTTCTTTACTACCCGCTCACAAAAGATCAGTCCATGCCCTGTTAGGAAAGAGAGTTGAGCTTAACCATTTTAACCATTTTAACCGTTAAAGCCATCGCGTAATGTCTGAAGTCTAAAAGCTATCAAAAATGGATTGTCAGTGCATTGGAATGGCTCAGTGGTCCAGAAGTGGTGCTGAATTTCACAGGTATTACCTGGTCATATGCAGCACAGTGTGTTCAATCGCTGATGCTGTACTGCTTCCCGAGTGCTGGCCAAGGGCAGTGGGGATGGTTGAGTATAGCTTCTGCAGTGTTGAAGGCGTTTGGAAAACTGTCACGAAGCTGGCCTTAAAAGCTTTTGGGTTTTAACAGGGCAGATGGCTTAGAATACCAGTGTTTGTGTGCTTCAGCAATATTGCTTTCAAGACCAGTAAAGTTTTAATAATCTGGTAGCTTATGGAAGTCATTTTGGGAGAGAGAAGCTGCCCAGCCACCTGACTTTGGAGGGCTTAATAAACTCATAGATAGTATTGATGTGAGAGGGGCTGTGGTCATGGTGAAAGACTTGTTAATATATGTGTGTATTCCGAGATACCTAGAGGTATTTGGTAATTAGTCCTATGATTTCTTTGCTTTAGAAGAAGTTTCAAATGTTGCAAAGAGATGCTGTTAAGATTTCAAATATGGAGATAACTGGTAGTATCTAGATGGCTTGGACAGGAGGCAACAGAGAAACTTTCAGCTTTTGTAATTATTAAATATATTTTGAAAATTGCATTTTTTTTTCTTCTTGCTGCTTATACTGCACTTATCTTGTTTGCAAGTACTTAGAATTTCACACTTGACTTTGACAACCCTTCAATAAGGTTCTTTTCATGATAAGGTTGGTGAATGCCGGAAAATCTCTGTTTCAAGGCTAGGAACCAATATTAATTTCTATTTCATTAAAAACAGCATCCTTATGGATTCCAATTGATTCATCCCATTGACTAAGCATTCTCTGTGCTTTGTTAGTGTATGTTGTTTCCAGTTGTTGGTCATACCTGTATTAGAATTTAACAGCAGCCTTTGTATCTGTGGAGTTAAAGACACTCAATTTATTGACTTTGTGAAGTTCTAGACCAATGTATATTTATACATTGAGAACATCTTAATGATCATTTTGCCAAACTGCTGAATGATAGATATGGAGAGGTTGCCCCTATTAAAAAGAAGAACCATCAAAGGATAGAGGAGAGGATCTAAAAAAATTTTTTTGGTGCTGTGTGATAATTCTGAGGCATAATAAAAGTAACTATTGTGTTAGACCTTAGGTTAAAAGTTATGAATAAGTGTATTGAAACCTGTAATATGTAATAGAATATTGGAGTGTACCTTTTTGTCTCAAAAATGTTTCAAAAGGCAATTAAGAATGAGTGATATTGGAAGTCAGATGACTTATGGTCATCATCAGACTTCATTGAATCTAGCACAGAGCTAGCCATTGTGTCATTCCTGTTCTACCTGAGTCTGGTGGATGATAACAGGAACTGATAAGGACTCATGTCTGAATTTAAGTCAATTTGCAAATGTTAAAAAAAAAGAACAGATTGCAAAAGAATGATGGGCTGAAAGTTATCAGATCTTTGCAGGTGTGCTTTTTATTTCTTCTGCCCCTCTAGTCTGTGTTGGTGAGACCCCATGTGGGGTACTGTGTCTGGATGTGGAGTCTTCAGTACAGAAGAGACATAAACCTGTTAGAACATGTCCAGAAAATGGCCACAAAAATCTTGCAAGGGATGGCAAAACTCTCCTATGAGGACAGGCTGAGAGAGCTGGGGCTGTTCAGCTTGGAGAACAGAAGGCTTCAGGGGGACCTGATAGGGGCCTTTTGATGTCTGAAAGGGGGCTATCAGAAAGAAGGGAACAGACTCTTTAGAAGGATCTGTTGTGATAGGACAAGGGGAGATGGTTCCAAACTAAAAGAGAGGTTTAGACTGGATATAAGGAAGAAGTCTTCTGCAGTAAGGTTGGTGAAGCACTGGAACAGACTGTCCAGAGAGGTGTTCTGTCGCCCAAGCTGGATGGGGCTCTGAGCAGCCTGATCTCACTCTAGGTTTTCCTTGCCCATTGCAGGGGAGTTGGACTAAATGGCCTCTAAGGGTTCTGTTTTCAGTATTTGATATTGTATTCAGTTAGAGAAATAAGCCACAGGTCAAATCCAGCATTGAATCTGTCTGTTTGCCTGAGTTATGAAGTTAAATTCTGTTGAGAGGCGCAGACAGTTATTCCTGCATTTGTGGAGACTTGCAGAGGGTTTCTGCAAGAGTATTGCAGTTGCCTTCTCTCACTTCAGTATGCCTAAACGGGTTTGAGAATAGAACAGTAATTTTCTTTGGTAGAAAGTAGTGGAATTAGGCATGATTGTCACTTCAGGGTCACTCAAACTTTATGTCTCAGTGGAAAACATTAATCGTGGTCAACTTTTATGTAATAGAAGAAGTTCTGTTGATACCTCCAGTTGGAATTCGTTCTCAGCGCTAGTTCTGTACCTGCTCCCACCACCACCCACTTAGGTGAGTCTTTGTGGTTGTATGCTGAGGTTTTTTGATAATTTGGGTGGTTGTAGAAAAAGTGACTGGCAATTCTAAGTGGATCCAAAGCATGCTTGGAATGCCGCACTAGGATTTCTATAGAGCAACTGGAAGCTTTGCAGTGTATGCCCAGTCATTTACAGAATGAGAGAATTTCAGTGCAAGTAGCTATTGGCAAGCTAAATATGAGTGCATACTGTGTACTGGCGTTTTTTTTTCTCCCCATGTATTTTTTTGTTTATAGGCTGCTACAAAGAAGATGTAATGAAATATCACAGCAATTAAACAACATCTTGTGGTAAGGTAGGGACTCAGGAGCCGTTTTGTCTATGAGCCATGCTTCAGAAAACTTGCTTACAAAGCAGTTGATAGTCAGATGACAAGGTTTTCTTGTATTTTTGGGAAAAAAAAAAACCTCTCTGTTTTCAAGCAGCAGTAGCGTCACAGCTGCAAATAGAGATTAAGCTATATTATGCTGAAAAATATGGAAAAGATGCTTCTGTTGTTAAAATTTAGAACAAACTACTTTGTGAAGGAGTCAGCACTTTATATCATGTATTTCAGCTAGATCTTCCCAAACTTCTTGTTTGCCTCTTCAGTGGTTTCAGTAGCAGTGATCCACATCTACCAGACCATTTTGAAACTGTTTTCTTTAAGCTGGTCATATGAATGGTATAGTGTGGAAATTCTTGCTTTGTATAGTATTGGAGATCTCTTGCAAGACTTTGGTTGTCACCTACATTTTAAATTTAAATTCATGTCCCCTTTCCCTCACCTTCACACAGTATAAAAAGTGATACTTCAACTTTAGAAATAATTCAGTGGCTTGAATGTCTCATGTTTGTTGCCCAGACTCAAATGCTGTGTTAATAAATCCTTGTGGCTGACAGCCATAATTTGAGCTCGAGCATCGTGGGCCTGGTTAATGCTATTTCCTGAAGGGATGCAACTTACACTCCTGGAACCAGCGTTAGTACTAAAGACAAATTAGAATCTGCCTTTTAATTTCTTCCTTGTAAAGAAGAATTTTTTTTAAATTTGAAACAGCTTTGATGACAATCAAGAGAGACAAGAAAGAGGTTAAACTGGGATACTGCGTTTCCTGAGTATTTCCAAAGTGAAGTTGTTTGTAAGTTTCCAGAGAGTTGATTCCAATTATGTTAAATTATCTGCAAATATAAATATGTTAAGTTAATTCTGCTACTGTGCAGTAACTCCAGAGTTTGTTTGTGATTTGGGATTTTTTTTTGTTTCAGCTGTAGTGCAATAGCTCCCTGGTTGTGCTTATGGCCTTTGAAATTCAGTTGGGTCCTGCTGCACATGGGAGGAGCTTATTGATGATGCTGCTGTAGGAAAGGGGTGTCTTCTAGCAGCCTTGAATGCTGAGTTGCAGGCACAGTGAAAGTGTGGCTGGGCATGAGCCCTTGTCATCATCAGTGTTTCACTCAGATTTTTGTTCTGAGTATATACCATAGCAGGGATACCTGTTCATTCAGCTTAAATGGCAGTTTAAGATTGGAAATTAGGAATTAGGTGTAATATCTGTTGTTATTGTGACTAGTTCTTTGGTTGGCAGG